CAGGGCAATGAAGTGCCATGTGGGAGGCTGGACTGGACTCCCAAACAGGAAAATGATGGTAGTGGAAGAACTCATGAAATTCAGGTACTGCACAAAGGTTAATTTAGTTTCAATAAATATGCTGTAGTTACGTAAGATGTTAACATAAGGATAAGCTAGGTGAAGGGTATATGTGAATTTTCTGTACTATTTTTTTCCAAATCTTCTATAAGTCTAAAATATCTTAAAAATAACCTCCTTTTTTTTTTTTTTTTTTTTTTTTTTTAAAGTACAGGTATATTCAGACAATGATATAGACCTTAGTAAGTCTGGAGCATGGGATTTCTCAATACAAAAAAGCCTTGGAACTGCCCTAGACCTCTCAGGAGAAACCGAAGAGGAAGGGTCCCATGGGGACCTGCAGAATTTGAGGTGTCTGTGGTGAAGCCAGCTGTGGATGGTCAGGAGGCTGGTAAAAGCTCAGGGCTGGAAGTTCAGTGTGGTCGTCAGCAACAGAGATTCGGTGATGAGTGAACCCATGGAAGTAGCTGAGACGGTCCGAGACCAGAGGAGTCAGAGACGATGGCCAAGGATGAAATCCATGGTAACACCCACGTGTAAGGTGTGGAAAAAGACAGAAGGGCCCTCAAAGGGAAAAGAAGGATGAAACTCAGGAGAAAACCATCCAACAGACCAAAGAATGTGGGATTTTCAGGAAGGGTCATCAATGGTGTTACATGCTGCAAAGAAGTAAGGAAAGATTCTCAAAGTGGCCAGTGCCTTTAGCCACTTTCGGAAGACTGACCATGTCCTGGTATAATTCGTAAGACTGAAAGGGCTTTTTGGACGTCCCACTAATAGCCTTCAGCGCTACGACCAAGTCCACCTATGAAGTTACCTTAGACTTTTTTTCTGTTCAGCATGGCATGTTTCTATGTTAAGCATATCAGCTTACTTATAATTTTTAAAACGTTATAGGTGTTTCTTTTTTTTTTTTTTAGGTGTTTCATTTTTAATTTCTCTCATGCTAAGTAATAAAACAAGGGTTATGTGACCCAGGTTGGGCACTAGTGATTTCAACGGATAAAGTTCATTTGAGCTTTGGGCACAGAAATAGCCTGAAGAGCAAATGGAACACAAGGAGGTCGAGACTGTGAGGGAAGACCAGCTTTTCATGGAGACAGAGGGTGATAGGAAGGGAAGGGGGAGGGAGTGGTCATTTGAAAAGTTTTTGTTGTTTTTGTTTTTAAGAAAAAGGCTTGAGCGGGCCCATCATCTGATAGAATACAGTCAGAAGAAAGGAAACAGCTAGAGTTACAGGAGGAAGAGGGGACAATGGGAAGAGCGGGGTCTCCAGGGAGTCAGGAGGGAGGGGGATCCTGAAGGAAGCAGGTGAAGGAATCAGGCTTGGAGAAGAGTCTTGGCCCATCGTCTGAGACAGGAAGCAGGAAGGAAGGGAAGGATGCCGGTAAGTTTGCAGGTGGCAAAGGAGAGAGCATGGGAATTTAAGAAAGTTCCTGTCTGTTGGTTTCTGTTTCTCTGCTAAGTAGAGGGGAAGTGGTGGGGTAGGCAGAATGGCAAAATCTTGTAAACAGCTCTTGTCAGGGCTGATCTGTAGTAACTCATGGCCAACTGGGAACAATCACCCTTTGTAAGCTGCGTCGCAACTCTGTGACCTTGTCATGTGTCTCTCAGCCTTGATTATGATGGTTTTTTATCAATAAGAAGTTTGACGGGCACCTGGGTGGTTCAGTGGGTTAAAGCCTCTGCCTTCGGCTCAGGTCATGATCCCAGGGTCCTGGGATCGAGCCCCCAATGGGGCTCTCTGCTCAGCAGGGAGCCTGCTTCCTCCTCTCTCTCTGCCTGCTGCTCTGCCTACTTGTGATCTCTGTCTGTCAAATGAATAAATAAAAATCTTAAGAAAAAAAGTAAAAAAAAAAAATAAGAAGTTTTAAATTTTACGTAGTCAAAAGGTTTTTTTTTTGTACCTGATTTCTAACATGTGAGCCATTCTTAGAAAGCCCCTCCTTTCCTCAATAATATAAAATCATAAAAATATCCAGTTGTATTTTTAAGGCTCTTACAAGTTTTTTGTTGTTTTTTTTTTTAACCTTTAATCTGGAACTTGTTTTGGTCTAAGAAGCATGGTAGGAATCCAGCTCTTTCTTTTCCCCCAACACCCATCATGGTCATCTCAACACTACTTATTAAATGGGCTATCTTTTCTACTTAATGATTTGAAACCACTCCTCCTCCTCCCCCCGCCCCCACCATTTCCTACTTTTTAAAAAAAATAGTAAATTCAAGGCTGCAATTATCAGCAGGCTGTGAGTTTTCCTGCCATGGCAGAAGAAGGATAAGCATTATGCTCAAAATATGGTTTTATAATCATTACACTACAAGTGGCCTCAGGCTGAAACTGAACTTGTTGGCTCAATACTACGAAAAAGAAAACTATGGCACCTACTAGACTAAAAACAAAAGTTGTTATACTTGGAGAGAATCCCACACCTCTTCAAAAAAGCAACACTGAATAACCCTAAACACAAGATAACACAGCTACTCAGGGTTCTTCTGTGGGCCTGATGCGTCCTGATGGGTCTCCTCAAAGCAGGTCTGCCCAAAATTAGACCATCTACAGACACCATCCTGAGCCTTCTTTGTGGTTGAGAAATATCACTGGGAACACCTGCCTTTTAAATTGCTCAAGCTCAAATAAATACATTTTCCTATGTTTTATGGATTGCAATTCTGAATACTCCATGAAAACTCATACAAGGGTCTGAGCAGATTCAAAGCTCTGCTTCTGGGAAAAGTTTTACCCTTGCCAAAATGTACCCGACAGTCCTCTGGTATCAGAGTAGAATGGTTCCCTGTCTGGGAATCGATGCCAGTTGAACTCCGAAGTGCTTCTGTAGAGAAGCAAGGCCTGCTACCTGTTCTCCTGGCACTTTAAGTATATGGAGTCTTTAAACGCCAACTATGAATCTTGGTCTTATTTGTATTCATTTGGAAGGGTCAACCTGGACTTGACTGGACACTAAGCACCTGCCCCCAACACTGTCTAACCCACAGGGGAGAAAGCCCACGCTTGATGTGCCATATAAAAGGGATTCATCCTTCTATACATTATTGGGAAACTGGAGTTCAGTTTTAATTAACTTAGCGCTGCCTTTTCGGAGTCAAGATTTAATGTCACACAGAGGCAGCATCACAAACCCTCACACAAAGTACCATTACGTCTTTTGGAAAATTGTAGCTAAAGACATTGCCTGTCATGTATCTCACAAAAGGCACCTCCCACCTAATAGTGAGATAAGCCGATCATCTCAAGTGTCTAGTACATTGAGTTCCTCTGTTTGTTTTATTAATTACTTGAAGATATTTTTTTCTTTGTATTTTATCATTGTAAGCATCTTTAAGTCCCTTTTTGAAGTAGAGAGAACATAAGTGCCAGAAACAGAATGGACTTGAACTGTTTTGGTCACCACATTTCCAGTACCTAGAACAGTGCCTGTCATTTGTGGCCAACAAATGCGTTGAACAAATAACTAGAAAATAAAAGATTCAAGAAACATGCACATACATATCCATACAGGTACCAGCACAAATGATGTGGTGTGTTGGGCACTGACACTCACTTTATTAGCAATAATTCAAAGGTAAGGAAAGTTTTGTTTGTATCTCCTTCATTCATTCAGGAAATCTTTGCTGGCACATTGTATGTGCCAGCACCCCTGACGCAGGTATTACTCTTATAGGATTCCTAAATCCACTGGAGTAAGCCAAGGGAGCATCAAATAATTAGGGGATAGTGTTAAGAGTACCATGGTAAGAGATGTGTGCAGATATCCAGAGAACTCATGGGAGAGTGGTTGGCCAGCTAGGAATACAGGGAGTGGGGGCCGGGGAGGGAGGACCATTCTTCTGATGCAGGGCGTGCTGAAGGTGCCCCTCCAAGGGTGAGCAGGAGTTAGCCATGAGGAGAGGCAGGGGAAAGCAGGTCTCTAGGGGTGCCAAGGGCAGAGTCAGAGCAGAGAAAACCAGCAGCCAGTGGGGTCAGGAGCTAGAAGGAGCTGGAGGTGGTCATGGTATCAAGAACAGAAGGCCTCAGAGGTGATGTGGTTGGGAGTCAGAAGCTTTGTACATCCTGAGAGGTCTGAGATTTATTTTCTCAGCCATCGGGAGTTTTTTGCAGGGGTTAAACTGGGAAGTTTAAACTAGTCAGACCCGGCGCCTTAAATGGGTCACCCCAATAGCTGATGAAACCTGGACCAGAGGGAGACAAGAGCCAGGGGTCAGGGCCACTTAGTGCAGGGGTGAGCTGGGAAGAACCTGGACTGTCATGTGAAATGCAAAAGAGAAGTGTTTTGGAGGAAATTGTGTATTTTAATTCTGTGTTTTACAGTGACTAGTATTTCTCTTCCATATTTTATTAGTACTAGCATTCCCAGATAATTTCTAAGGAGCTCTGGTTTTACGAATATTCTTTTCATTGCCTACTACAGTCTACTCTGTTCCCAATGTTTTTATGACGATTCTTGATGCACAAAATAGAAAGTGACAACCGCTGACATTGTTAGGACAGAGGACTACGGTATCTCTCCCTACTTAGTGAGAGCAGCAGACCAGAAACATGTAACGATCACCCTGTTAGGTTTACTCCTGGGGCAGTACGGCTCTAGACAGGAAAGCATGTATGTACTGGAAATATTCAAAAACTTATTTGCAAGGTTACTGAATCTTCTCATAGCAACGGAAAGGACTTTAAGGTCAACATAGAGACTTACCCAGACATCTACACCTAAGTTAAGATAAAGATACAAATCATCTTTAAAACAGGTTTCACAATGACACAGAATATACAGACCATCCTTTCAAAAAGACTCCTTTCCAGCAATCTTCCAAACGAGTATTCTTTTCAGTCATTTCTTTCTCTTTTCCAGAGTGATAACAAGATAATGAGTTAATAATTCAGCCCTGTTTATCACAGCCTGCCGCCAGCATCTGACTGATGTTACCTTATGCACGATGAGCTCATGAGTGCCATCTGGAAGAGTCCTACCATCTTCCTGCATCAGGGGGACGAAGGAGAAACCAAACAATTTCTTCTCTCCTTTCTCCTTTGCTGTGAGAAAAGAGAGAAAGAATTATTTGCTTTTTAAAATGCCTGTTTATACACCTGTGTTCAGACTTGGACTGCCAACAAGCGTGATCAAGAAATACAACCCATGCTCACCAGTTTCCTCTACGTAACAGAGAGCCACTTTTGTGATGAGACCTCTACCTACAGTAGCCACCCTCCAGCCCGTATTCCTGCCCTGTAGCCGGCAAAGGACACTGCCTGATGAATTTTCTTCACGGGACTCACTATCTGAAAATTCGTTTTTTTTTTTGTTTTTTTTTTTTTTTTAAGATTTTATTTATTTATTTGACAGAGAGAGAGATCACAAGTAGGCAGAGAGGCAGGCAGAGAGAGGGGGGGAAGCAGGCTCCCCGCTGAGCAGAGAGCCCGACGTGGGGCTTGATCCCAGGACCCTGAGATCATGACCTGAGCTGAAGGCAGAGGTTTAACCCACTGAGCCACCCAGGCGCCCCTGAAAATACGTTTTAAAAAAATTTCTGGATTGTTTATTTTTTCTCTTCATCTCCTACCCTCCACTCCCAGCCATAAGCATTACTGAGGGCAGGATTCTTCTATGTTATTTTATTCTAACCTTGGTACCTCAAAGAGTGCCAGGAACATAGTAGGTTCTCAGTAAGTATATGTTAAATCCATGAACAACTGAATGAATGGACGTGAAATTTGATGTTTTGCTTATTACTGAGGCAAAGGTGGTTTCTAGGCTCTGCTTGGCCTATGACAGAACTTTCCCTGTGTCTACATGTGTGAGGACAGAGAGCCCTGTAGAAGCTACTTCCTTGGGATCTTAGACATGAGGATAAACAACATGAACTGTTATCTGTAGTTTAAGAAGAGCCTATTACAGTAGTATTCTGGAAGCTGGACATGGGGCCATGAGGTTTTCAGATGCCTAATGAAGAATTAGAAGGGCTGGAAAGGTCGAGGGTCATTGGCAATTATGTACAGAGAAGGAAACTGACATCACATGATATTAGGGAACTTGCTCTAGATCTTGAGGACCATTCCAGTTCTTTCTACCAACTTCCTTCTTCTCCAAAAATGGAGAAAGCATTAAAAGAAACTGGTTGGTTCAACTTGACTGTCTCCTTGTATTTAGATGTTCAGGAGGGAGTTCCAGGGCCTGCAGCCTATCCTGGTGGTGGAAGTGGAGCATTATACTTGATAGAAGAGTTCAGCTCTGGGAAAGCACTGAGGTCTGAGCTAGAGGAGTTAGATATGGTGACCTTGAAGATCAGACAAGAGACTTCAGCAACATATCATTCCCTCACGATTGCTTCTGCCATTTCACCATGGGGAAGTGGGACTCCACATAGAGAACAGTAATTTTGGCTTGGTGGTTTTGGCCCCTAGCATGAGGACATCCCCGAAGTATGGAACTTAAGATTTGGGGGAAAAGACTTACTTAGAAGTAATTTCCTAAGTTAATGTGACTATCTTTTTGTGTCATTTTTGGTATTTAATTTGGAAGGTAACAGTCTGTGAATGAATAAAATTAGCAAAGGTAAGAAAAAAGCAATAGTTTCCCCAAATTTGTCTTTTGTTATAAAAGAAAAATAAACACCAAACAAGGTTTAAAGTACAATAAGCTGATGTGACACCCCCCCCCCCGCTTTTTACTAATGAAGACCCTACATTTATGGATTCTACCTCCTAACTTTCCAGTCCATCCTGATACCCCAACTCCAACAACTGTGCCCTGGGACCTCCAATTTACTGACCTCCTCTCCAGGCCTCTCCAGTCTCACTTCCCCTTTCTAGGCTCCATCCTTCTAACCACTGTGAATCCTGTCTACCTGCTATTCCTCCACGCTTCCCATTATTATAAGATAACACTGCACCGGGCTGAAACCCAACCTGCACTTTAGTCTACACCTGCGCCACGCTAACCTCACTTTAATTAACACACATTAACCACAGATGGGCCCCGAGCTGGGCAGATTTGTCGCATTTTCCTACCAGCTCACCTTTTGACTCTTGAGACAAGGGATTTCATCCATCCTCTTCCATTCTCCAGCTGCCAAAACCTCAGCATGTTCCTCACTCTCAGCAGACATGCAGAGGACTCCCACACGCTCTGCCCATTACCCCATCTGCATGGGTCTTCCCACACTATTGCCTGATCTGTCCACTTAACCCGGAGCACTGGACCCCATGCTTCCCTTCCTCAAGGGCACTGCTCCTATACTCGTCCCCTCTCTCTTCTACACATCAGTTTGTTCTCTCTACTGAATCACTTGCACCAAACATGTTTTAGAACTCCATCTTAAGAAAGAAAAAATCCCTCCCGTGACCCACCATTCCATCCCATTTCTCTCCTCTCTTGTATTCTTTTTTTCTTTTTAAGATTTTATTTATTTATTGGAGAGAGAGATCACAGGTAGGCAGAGGGTTGCGGGGGTGGGGAGGAAGCAGGCTTCCTGCTGAGCAGAGAGCCCGATGTGGGGCTCGATCCCAAGACCCTGGGATCATGACCTGAGCTGAAGGCAGAGGCTTAACCCACTGAGCCACCCAGACACTCCTCACTTGTATTCTTTATAGCAAAGTTTCTGGGAAGATCTGTCTGTACTTACCGCTGCCCTTCCTTTCCTCACCTCACTCTTGGACTCACTCACCAGGCTTTCATCACCACCAGTCCACTAAAAACCACCTGTCAGGTTCAATGACTTCCATGATGCCAAACTGGGTGATAATCGCTCTGTCCTCCATTTACTTGATTTATCACTGGCACCTGACATAGCAGATCAATTTTCTTTTGAAAATCTTTCTTCGGGGCACCTGGGTGGCTCAATGGGTTAAGCCTCTGACTTCGGCTCAGGTCATAATCTCAGGGTTCTGGGATCGAGGCCCCCATTGGGTTGTCTGCTCAGCAAGGAGCCTGCTTCTCCCCACCACCACTGCCCCCCGCCCCCCGCTCTCTGCCTGCCTCTCTGCCTACTTGTGAGCGCTCTCTCTGTGTCAAATAAATAAATAAAATCTTCAAAAAAAATCTTTCTTCAATTAACTTCCTGGCTTCTATTCCTGGATTCTCCTTCCACCTCATTGGCTATTCTGTCTTAATTTTCTTAGTGGCTTCTTCTCATTCTCCCAAGCTCTCAATGTGGAAGTACCCCAGAGATCCGTTCTTGGACTTCTCTTTCCTATCTAACCTTACTGTTTAAGATCACATCCAGTGTCACGGCTCTGAGAATCAGGGGCATCAGTAATATGCTGGAGCTGGCCTGTCGTGGCTTGCAAGAGTTGACAGTGTGCATCTTTTCCCAACTCCAAGTTCAGTGATGGTCATGTTGGGAGCTTGAATTTGGCCATGATAGGGGTATTTACTCAATGGAAATCAGCAAATCCTCTAATTCAGGGCTCCCTTCTCCCCCAGCTCAAGTGCTGGTTATCAAATATTTACAGTACACCACTGAACTCTGTGTCCTCCTTCTCAAGTTTAAGTCTCTAGCATGGATAGCATTCAATGGTCTATATGACATCTTGAATGTTTAAGAGACCTCTCAGATTTCACATGCAATGTTTGGTTTTTGCTCTCCAAAAAGGTTTTTCCTGTCACCCTCCCCACTTCAATAAATGATCACTTCATTCTCAGGCCAAAACCTTGGGGGTCATCCTTGACTCTTCTCCTTCCTTCAAATCTGGTCTATCAATAAATCTGTGAAAAAGAATTGACCTACTATCATTCTAATGCAAACCATTTTAACTTGGAGGACTGCTGAAGGCTGTTGAATGGTCTTTCGGTTCCCACCTACAACCCATCACACAAAAGCAGACCAGCTCATCTTTAATCTAAATCTGCTAATGGCACTCCTTGCTCCAAACAAAGTCTGAAGTCTTGCCCATGACTTACAAGACAATGTGGGATCTGGCTCCCTCCCTATGTCTCTGGCCTCATCTCCAAACTCTCTTAGCTGCTCATTCTGGCCTCCTTGATATTCCTTGAATTGCCAAGCATGTTTCAACCTTAGGTGTTTTATATTTACTGTTCTCTCTGCCTATAACTTTCTTTCCCCAGACACCCAAACGCTCATGCCTTTATTTCTTTCAGCTTGTTGCTGATACATCTCATTATCGGAGAGCCTCTCTCTGACTGCCCTTTGTAAAACAGCATCACAGCAACATACCTTTCCAGCACCTGATTCCAGTGTAATCTTCTTTACTACGCTTACAACAGCCTGATACACTACCATGTAATTATTTGCTCAGATATTGTCTGTCTTCCCTTCTTAGCAGGAAACCTCTATGAGAGGAGATATTCAGTTGTGCTCACTCATGTATCTCCAATGCCCAGGGAAGTGCTGGACACATAGGAAGTGTTCAGTAAACATGTGTTTTATGAGTAAAAGATACTTCTTAAATAAATATACATACACAGGGGCACCTGGGAGACTCAGTTAGTCAAGCATCTGCCTTTTGGCTCAGGTCATGATCTCAGGGTCCTGGGATGGAACCCTGTGTTGGGCTCCCTGCTGAGTGGGAGTCTGCTTCTCCCTCTCCCTCTGCACACCCCCCTCCCCACTGATTGTGCTTTCTCTCTCTCAAATAAATAAAATCTTGTTTCTCTCTCTCAAATAAATAAATAAAATCTTAAAATACACACAGACACACAGAAATATTTGGGAACTCATGTGATTAAGTAATTGCCCTGATTATTCAATTTATGGGACTATGGGGATTTTTCTCCTTCATGCTTGTGCTGTTTCTTCTGAATTTTAACAATGAATATTCAAAAACCAAACTGACACTGTGAACAATGTTTGAAATACAAGGACAAGAGGACAGATCTAATGGGTTTTCCTGAAAATTGCCTTTCTTCCATTTCCAAGTTCTGCTCTTTCTTCCTTTTCTCTCATTTCATCTTTACTTTTCTCTTTTTCTTCCCTTAAAGCTCAAAGCTTGTATTAGCTCGACTGAGAATTTATAACAAAGACTGGGGAAGGTATGCTACGGCATCATTCCAAGTGCTTTCTGTTTTGCCACTCTAAATCCTTTCCATAACACTCCTCTGGGAATTTGGGAGAATGGTAAGACCTTGCTAGTCATCTCCCTACATTCTGAAACATCCACCAAAGAATAATTACTGGAGCTCCCTGAGCCAGTTCCAAAATATGCCATCATCCTTGCAACAGACAGTCGTCCTCTCTCTGAATCCGGGGTGAATTACACAGCACTCAGGCGAGGTCACCGCATATCTATTGGCAGTGTCCCCATTCTTTCCAGACTAGAGAGGAGCCTGCTGCTTCTCTAGTAATGTGATTCCTCTGGTACCCCTTGTTTGCTCCGGAAGCAAGCACTTCTGGTAGTGTTTAAGTTATACTTCAGAGACACAGGGATAGCATAAGATGGGAGTGGGGGCTTGAGAGGGTGGTAAAGAGTACAAAAGAATTAAAGTAGAGATGTCAAGAAATGACAATTTTAGGGACAGCGGTGTTCATAGGGGCAAATCCTGGATCATCTCTCCATTTTGGGTTTTTTCAGTTCTGTAAAATGAAGCAATTACTTCATATCATCTCTAAGGCCTATTTGACTGACATTACTTGTCATCTGAACACTGAGACTGCCCGGTGATGCAGATATATGCAAATCAGATATCACTCTGAGCCAATCGGAAGCTCTCCTGGGGACTTCCCAGGCCTAGAAAGGTCCTCCTGGGTTCCCCTGAGCAGTGTGAGAGCTGGGTGACCTCGTGGCTGGAGAGCAGCAGATGGGTTAGGACTACCTAAGCTCCCCTGAGTCAGAAAAGTTTTTAATTCTGTGTCTCCCCTTTCTGTCTCATCTTTCTAAACTATGAAACTGATAAGCTAATTTTATGAAAATGAATGATTTAAGGAGAACCCTGTAGACTTCTGTATGTATTGTTTCCCTCCTTTTCCTTCCTGAATGTTTCCACAGAGGTTATTGGTTCTTCGAGAAGTGAGCCCACTCACCTCTCAGGACTCCACTGACCTTCACCCCTCCCTCTAGAAGGTCTCTGCTTTGTTACCCTCTCTGCAGATTAGCCCATACTGTCCTAAGGCAAGCGCCTTACCCCAGCACAACAAAGCCAACCCCAAGAAACACTTACTGGAACAATGCCGAAATTCAAAGCGGATGTGCGCGCCCCTGAATTTATCCACAGGAATGGGAAGTTTGAGCAGTTCGGACCACCTGGGACTGTTGTTATGATAAAGCACGAAGGAGTGGTACTCACTAGCTGGCGGCTCTCCAGAGCCAAAGGAGATAAAATCCTAACAAAGAAAACACGCCGGTTAAAGACAGCTTCATTTAGAGATTATCTGAAAAACAGCGGAGCAATTGCTTTGCTCTATCTGCCTGCTCCCCAAACGGCACTTCATGGAGAATGACCTCCCCCTGTCGTCCTTTGCAGGGCTGTTTTACACCTGCTTCTGCCAGCAGCTGCGTCTGCTTAATGCCCATGCACATCTCCCAGGGCCTACTGTGCTGGGGGTGAACCTTGGGGACAAGTACGAGATGGGCAACTGCGCGCCCAATTTGGAGTTCAACTACGCGGCAAAGTCCTCAGCCTGCCGCTGTCACACGCCGGTTCTGTGCCTCCCTGGGAAATGCAGGAAGCTGCAAGGCCCACACAAAACACTTCTTGCATAAAGGAACCTGGTATCACCACCCCAATCAGTAACAGCTCACTATCAGGCCCTATTTTGATCAAAATGAAAATATACGGGACGAAATGTGGCAGTTTTTATTTTTTTTTTTTAACCAGTCGCAAAGACAAAGTGTTCATCTCCAAAACTAGGACAGATGAAAGGGGGAGAACGGAATGACAATAAAAACGCGACATTTAAAGAAGAGCTGCTGTGAGGAAATTACTGCCACAATTCATGAAACAATCCAACTGTAAAACCTTTTTGTTTCACTACTTGCTTTTCTGGAGGGTATTTCAATGATGAAAAAAAGGAAGAAAACCACACAAGGGTGGAGGAGAAAAGTAAGATCAAAAAGAATGCAAACCAGAAATTAACTGATGACATTAAAGGTGAACCCAAAATGATGACGTGGGATTGTTTTACCATAAAGGACCCAGTATGCACATACCTTTAAGATCTGGCCACTACTCTCCACAATGAACATGGTTACTTCCACATTTCTGGCCACGCTCTTCCCTCCTTTCTCAAATTCGCCCCTTTCTATAGTGATGTATAAATCATTTCTCATTTCACCTAGTAGGAAAATTAAAACCATGTTTATATATGTGTGTGTGTGTGTGTGTGTGCATGTGTGTGCACACGAGTACAAAACTAATAAGTGTAATAAAATACACAATCAAGAAAAGCCTTAGTCCATAAAATGTACTGTGAGAGCATACATATAAAAGTAAAAATATTACACTTACACTTTTATATAAGGGTCCCCACCCTCATTGCCAATATCCAAGAGAAGTGAAGGCCAGCTTCTGCTGGTCTGAATTTGCAATACTGCAAAAGTGCGGTTAGGAGGCAAATACAGGGATTGCGTAGGAAGGTGTTGTCAAGTTTTACCATTTTTCAATATTTTCCTCATTTCATTTATGAGGTGTGATTTCAAAATGACAGCCTAGCAGGGTGGCTCAAAGAAGCCAGTCTCAATACTTTATAGACACAACACTTTAAAAGTAGAAGAAATACCCAAATGGAATAAAATGACAGGACTGCAAAGGGTAGAGTTACAATTTAAATCTTTTTCAAAATTCGTGGACAAAATGATCTCACTGCTGAAAGAATCCAGGTTAGTGCTTTATGAACACAGATGTAGAATAATTCAGTTATGCAGACAAGCTTGGCTTCACATTCCTTACCATAACGCTATAAAACAAATAAGATTCAAACTGACATAGTCTATGAATGCGTATGCCATTTATTTTTTTTCTCCATTGGTGACTTATAAAACTTACTACTCCAAGAAAAAAGAGAAATTTGATGCCAAGGAGCAAACTTAGGCAAACAGGCTAAAAGAACGTTTTTCCTTTCCTATAAGAATTAAGGGTAAGTGGTAAGTGACTAGGGAAGTGAGAAAGAAATAAACAAACTATTACCATAAAGTTTTTGAAGATAAATACTGGTAAGGTCAGCAGAGTTGAATTCACTTTTACTTAACATAGTTTTCAAACACTAGAAGAATCACTGTCAATGCTCTTTTTTTTTTTTCTCTAATAAAAAACTTCTCCATAAAAAAAGCACAGATCACTAGAAGGAACAATAACCATACAAATAAGCCCACAACTGGGAGATTTAGAAAACTTCCTGACCAAAGTGTGTTCAAGAAAGTACCCCAGCTTTCAAAACCATGGGGGAATACCAGTGTGACTGGTCACTTTCCTCCATGAAGACCAACTTTTGATGATGGCATCATTTACGAATGACTGGAGCTGACCAGGAAACAGACGGCCCATAAAGAGAGAAAATGAGTAAGTCCCAAAAAGGATGAAATCGAAACCACCCTTTACAAAGAGCATGTAAAAAATACATGGGAATTAACAGATACAGTGGTCTCTGGCTTATGCATTTCTAGTACTCTCAGACAAATCGATTTGGAAAGGCAACGATCTTGGAGTTCCGGGAGGAAACCAATGTGTTTCACCAGATTTAAAATTAGATCTATATGCTTTATAAGTGTTTTTGTTTGAACCACCTCTTTTGTTTTAAATTTGTAGAGAATGGCCCGGTAAATTTTTATAAGCTTGTTCGATTTTGTTACTATATGTATTCATTACTATACACATACACATCCTTAATATAAACTCATTTTAACAATTTAACAATCCCATTACAAAATGAATGGTACATTCACAGACTCTGTCCTCTGAATCAACCAATTTCAACCAAATCAAAATAGGCCTGGTACACTTATGGTCTGCGCACGTGTTCTTTCGACAATAGGTCTGGGAGGAAATTCTTAACAATAGTTTCCCCACTAACAGATTTGGCAGACGAAAAAGCAACACTCGATTCAAGGTAGTTGAGAGCAAAAGATGTCTGTTAACAAGAGTCAAATTCCTTTGCTTCTTAGAGTAGGTGACACATAATGAGTGGCTCTGCTTACAAACTGGCTACAGCATACGCTGATTAATGGGAAGTATAGCTACAGGGTATCTACCTTAGGAAGTTCTCTGAATGAGTCATTAGCTAGTCCAAACCACATGGGATTAACTATCCTGCAAAATGAAGAGTGTTTCTTGGGGTGGGGCCTTCCACTCTCAACTTTTGAAAGGAATGGCAACTCTGACTTTAGCAAAGGCAAGAGAGGATGAGGGAGGTTCGCAAGGTGACCAGTTCTCCCCAGGCTGTAGGCTAGGCCTGAAGGAGGAACAGGGGTGGTGGGGAGAGGAAGGTACTGCCAGTATTAGGAAATTCTGCCTCCATGTAGTCATTCAGCAAATATTCTGAGCACGCACTATGGGCCAGATATTATTCTAGGCCAGGTAGACACAGCTGTGAACAAAGCAAAAATCCTTTTCCCACAGTTAAGATTCTAGGAATGGGGAGGTCTTTAATAATGAAGTCAAATATATAGCATGTTGAATAATAATAGGAAGTACTGGGGATAAAAGTAAGACCAAGAAGGGGCATAGGGAGTGCTGAACGGCGGCAGAGGGGATGTCATATGAGAAAAGACTTCTGAGGAGATGAGAGATCTGAGGAAGCTATGCCGTAGTTTGATCAAGGAGCAAGGCTTAAAATGGTATCGGCTTCCCGAATCGATCCACAAAGCCTGTTTTGCTTATACCATAGCTGAATTCTTCTATCTCTTCTGATTTCAGAAAAATTCAAAAAAGCCTAAAGCATTCAGAGTTACAGGAAGATTGGAATAAAAGATCTGGATTCAAGTCTCTCTCTCTCCCTCACTCTGCTCTCTGCTCCATGTGACTGAAGTCTGAACAGGGTAATATAAACCTCTGGGCCTCAAGATTTTGTGTTATTAAAATGGGGGTAGGAGGGACAAGACTACTTTGTTTTGTTAGGCTGTGTCTGTGACTTAGAGAAGAACTTCAGAAATACACACATTCATAAATAAGAGCTCCTTAAGGCACACACTTTCCTCTTCTGGTCTTCAATGGACACTCTCCCTGCAACCCCTTTTTCTCTTGCAAACCTTTAGACTCAAGTAGGATGTGTCTGAAAAGAGAACACAGAACAAGGAGAACATTTCTCCCAGATGACATTCTACATACGTCTCCCCAGGAATTCTGCAGCTTGCTACGTTCCAATACCTCAAGGTACCGCACCTTGCCAAAATATGCAGCAGGATACAGTTGAAACATGTGCTAATTAAAATCAATACACTTGAGGTCAGCTCTGGAGAAAACTAATAAGCCCAAATGGTGTTAAGAAAGCATCTTGGGTAATGAAGAGAGCAACCATAAAGTGAGTATGAAATGGAGTCATAGCACTAGTGTGAAAAACTACTTTCCTGACAATGTTTATTAACACCCTGCACCTCTCAAATTTAACACTCTGTAAATTTGATGGGCAGAACACTTTCTTCTGTTCAGCAGGCCCACTGGCTCTGCCCATGTGAGGGCTTCTGAAAATATCACTGTAGACAGAAAAAAATGTAAGGTTACAACAATGGGACCAAATACAAAAGAGTTCAGTGACTGCATCAAATGGGGTTGATTTATGGCTTGACCTCAAGAGCCAAGAGGCTTCTACCAGTAGCTGAGAACCATGTTCTTTGATTCTGTGCTGTGAACTCCCTGTGTAAAGCCCGAGAGTGTAAGCTCACATCAAGTAAACCACTGCTCTCCGCCACGGGCTGATCAGGGGGTCTTAATCTGTGCTGGATATTTGTTAACATTTATGGAACTGGACAAGAAAAGTTTCTGTCCCTTCGTCAAAAACAAGTCAACATAGGGGTCCCTGGGTGGCTCACTGGGTTGAGCATCTGCCTTCGGCTCAGGCCATGATCCCAAGGGTCCTGGGATGAAGTCCTGCATTGGGTTCCCTGCCCTGCGGAGAGCCTTCTTCTCCCCTCTCCCTCTGCCTGCCGCTCTGTCTACTTGTGCTTTCTCTCTATCTCTCTGTCAAATAAATAAATAAATAAAATCTTAAAAAAAAAAAAGTCAACATGGGTCTAAGACTAAGAACTTTGATCATACTAATGATGAGGACAGTGGTAGTAGATAAATGGGAGCTGGGTACTTTGCCAGGCGCTATAAAGACAACAGCTCATTAAACTTTCACATCAACATTTTAAAAAGGCCCTATTATTTCTATTTTATTGATAAGAAACAGATGTGTAGAAATTAAGAAATGTGTCCAACATATCATCAATGTATATTAAAATAAAATCATATTTTTAGTATGAAAAAGTGTAATTTAACAGGGTGAGAATGGCCATCAAATAATCTAGTGCAATTCAACTTTCTTCAGCAGACCAGTGCCTTAAGCAAGGAAGGGATGAGTCCTAGTCTATTCTGCATGGGTCGACCCAGGCTTAAAGTACTGATTTCAGTTCTAGAGACCATTTTTACAGAACTGGGAGAGATAGGAGTGGTATCATTCAGATCATAAACAATACAGAGAAAGGGCTTAGAACCCATCAGAGGAAGAATGACGGTGACAAGAGAGTTAACTGAATTAAAAAATGTTGAGGTTGCAAGCAGAAAAACTCAACCCAATGGATAAAAGGTGTAGAGAAACTGGTCCAACACGACAGAGGTCATTCTGAGATATGGTGTGTTCTCAGTCATTATCAATATTCAAGTATGTGCCAGAAAACCATCACCAGGAACCTGAGGAAGAAATTCATGCAATGGATACACTGGTTGGGCTGCATGGCCCTTCATGTGTGCAGCAGGCAGAAAAATGACACCCTCTGCACTCCCAAAAGATGTCCAGGTCCTAATCCTGGGAATCCGTGAATATATTACCTTACACAACAAAAGGGACTCTGTGGCTTTGATTAATTAAGTAAGGATCTTGAGATGGGGAGATTTTCTTGGATTATCAGGATAGGTTCAATAGAATTTTAAGAGTCCTTATAAGAGAGAGAGGGAGGCATGAGGGCCAGAATCAGAGAAGAGGATGTGATGAGGGAAGCAGACATTGGCATGATGTAGGGCCATGACCCAAGAAGTGCGGGCAGTCTCCAGAAGCTGGATAAGGCAAGGAACTAAGTTCTCTCTTGCAGTCACCAGGAAAAATGTAGCCCTGCTGATAGGGCTTGCTTTTAGCCCAGTAAGACCTGTACAAATTTTTGATCTCCAGAACTGGAAGAAAGTATTTTTGTGGTGTTTTCAGCCATCCCATCTGTAGTGATCTGTAACAGCAGCCATAAGAAACTAATACAATATGCCATCTGTACCCAAGATTCTACCACCTCACGATACGTTCACGGGTGGGGGGGGGGGGATAGGGACAAGATCACACGTAACTGGGTATCAAAGCAGACCACAGAAAGGAAACATTTATGGATGGGCTGAAAACCAAACTTCGGCATTCTCACATAGAGTGGACTTCTGTGAAATCTATTCATGGCTTCTCTGTTTTTTTTTTTTTTTTCCCTGTCATTCTTATTTTTGTTTTGCTTTATTTTAGAAGGGTATTGAGATGGTGAACTTTGGGGGGGCATAAATTTTTAATTTTTGCTTGTACATTAAACAAACGATGGCGAATGCTACAACAGCACCCACGGTAGGCCTGACAGAACAGTGTTGTGTCAAGAAAGGAGAAGGGATGGGCTGCAGCTCCCTGATGTCCATCACACTCTAGGATGAGGCACGGATTTCTGGTAGGGCCAGCTGAGGTAAGTCCTACACCCTTTAGTAATTGCCTGTAACTTCAACATTTTAGAGGCACGAGCCCCTCCCTCATTCTGATTTGGGGCTGGAACCCCAACCTCAGCAATAACATGAAAGATTCTTAGCCTCCACCTCTCTCAGATCGCTGTGGTATTCATTGGTTGAAAGACCATGATGCCCTTCCCTAGCATGATCGTGGGGTTTAGGTCTCAGCCAAGTGGTTGCACATATATGATATGGAGGCCCAGTGACTTGGACTGAGGAGTAGTGAGGTATGGTTAGATTTAGAATTTTCTTTTTTTTAAGATTTTATTTATTTGACAGAGAGAGAGAGATCACAAGTAAGCAGAGAGGCAGGCAGAGAGAGAGGGGGAAGCAGGCTTCCCACCAAGCAGAGAGCCTGATGGGGGGCTCGATCCCAGGACCCTGAGATCATGACCTGAGCAGAAGGCAGAGGCCTAACCCACTAAGCCACCCAGGCAGTCCTTAGGATGTATTTTTAAGGAAGATCCTATCATACTGGCTCCCACCTGCTTCCCCCAAAAGAAGCCTTATCTCAGATGCTGCTATGTATCTGTTGATACGAATGTCTCTGTCAGAGACTGATAAAGAATAATAATATACTTAAAAGAAAATCTCAACCCCTCCCTCCTCTAACACTCCACAACTTTTACTTAATTCCTTTCAGGGTTAGGAGCTTCACAGGCCTCCTACGAAAGACTGAGTGTACCGGAAGGATTTAATTAAGGGTTCCTTAACAAAGAGTGAGTTTAACCAGCTGGTACATGGGCACAAGCCTCCAAGGGAACACAATGGAGAAGATAAAGTAGGGAGACAATGATTAAAGCAAGGGCCATTTCGCCTAGAAAGAACAATAAACTCAGAATAAGAATGGACCTTCAGGGGCGGGACAAGGGGTGGGCTCAGCCTGACCTCCCATGACATTCCAGACACATCAGCCAGCTTTGCTCCAGAATGTCTGGTGGATGGAAACTTAGTGCTTCCCGATATTCAGTACAGTCTGTTAAGACATTTAGAGGCAGGCTGTCCAATACTGTAACTGCTGCCACATGTGGCGACTAAGTACGTGAAATGTGACTTGGCTGAAAAGAGACGGGCTGTAAATGGGCAAGACTTCGCAGCCTTCAAGGATGGAGGTTAAAGAAGAGAGTGTAGCATAACTCATTAAGAATTTTTTACATGAATTATTTATTGAAATGGTAATATTCTGAATGCAGTGGGTTAAATAAAATACATTATTAAAATTAATCTCTACTCTTTCTCACTCTTTTGAAAGTGTCTACTAGAGAAGTTACAATTACATTTGTGGCTCTAATTATAGCTCTCCTGGAGAGTATGGATTGAAATATTTTTGCTGCTCTCCCTGTCATGGGCTCAGAGAGCAAACGATGGAACTTTCGGCAGAGCTGCGCGGTTTGTAGGGAGCCGTGATAGAGCTTCAAAGAAAGTGACTTGTCCTCTTTGAAAATAAGACACCCTAAGAAACAAAGTGCTGGAAGACCGACCCATAACAACGGGGAAGGGTCATGGTGGCTGGAAAGCGCATGGCCAGGTCACCACCTCACACTAGATGACAGCTCAGACACGTGCCCCTCCAGCAGCCAGGCCAAGGGCAGAGTTTCAGCCTCTGTGGTTTTCTCCTTCCAGAAAGAGTCTGGCACCGATTACATGCTATGATCCTCAACAGGAGTCTTGTGTACGTTCCCGTCAGTGTCAAGACCACAGGTAAGTCCTTCTGCAGAGACTCAGCAGCCCCGTCGATGAGCCTGTCCCGTTGGTCCAAGCACGGGCCTCACCCGTCCCGACCCTTCTCAGAACAGAGATCAGCTCTGAAGGATGAGTCTAGAAAGTGAAAGGAAAATAAAAAAAAAAAAAATGCCAGCAGACTGTCAGTGCAATCCTGGCCTCGAAAGGATGCCTTCTCATGGAAGAATTCTGCACAAGTCTGCATTATAGCCACCAGTGAGAACCAACTGACAAGTCAACATTCTGAAAGAAAGGGAGACGGAACAATGAGCGCTTGTTTGCCAATGCAAGGAAATTCCACTGAGTTTTAAAGTTGCTGTCGGCTGTTTATGTAAACACACGAGCCTTTCCCTTCTTCCTCTAATTTGGAAGATGAAGAAGCCACAGAAGGAAAAGAAGAGAAAAAGAAGCAAGTACTTTAAAATAATCTCTTGGCATCCCCGGCACGGCAGACTGGGGTCCGGGAGACTGACTGCCTGAGCAGGGAGAACCTCGCCACTCTATGGTGGTGCAGCAGAGGGACAGACGGGAGCCTTCTTCCACTCGAAGTTCATTTCCATCATTAAAGCCAGACAAAAGGGACATTAGCACAGCATATCCCAGACAATTATTCAGCTGGTGAAGTGTCATGTTGCTTTGTGTTTTTCCACTTGTCGATGATACTGCCCAGAGACCAAGCTGAGGAATTCTTCCAAGCAGCTGTCTGCATTCTGTTTGAAAATATGTTTTTTATATTAGATTTGCCCATCAATTTGCTTCCTGGTGGCATGAAATTTTTTTCTTTTTTTGTTACAAAGGAAATACCAGTTATTTATAGCAACTGAAGGAAATAATGATGGGGTGTGAGAGCAACTGAGTAACAGGCCACCAAGTAAACAGTTCTATAAACAGTCATTTTCAACAACAGTAGTATGAGATGCTCGGGCAGAGCCGGTCCCTAAGCCAGGTCAGGTCATCTCAGGAAATTTCCAGGCTTTTGCTGAGCCTTCCCTGCATGAACAGATTTGCATGAAGAGATCACGAGATGCTGCAACAGGGCAATGCTGGTCATTTCTGCATCACATGAGGTCTTCATGCACAGCGGTCTCACCATCCCTCTCAACAGCTGTGCTGGGAGCCTTGTCCAATGCAACTTCCAGCGCTTGCTTCCATGTACAAGATTTAACCAGAGATTTACCTGATCTCGTTTCTAAAAATACTGTTAACAATTTCAGAGTATTTCATCTGGTCTACATTTCTCTTGGTTGTAGAGGGTGGGATGTGGGGCACAGAGAAATGTTACCACTTGGCATTTACTTGAACAGCGTGACTCTCATTAAACGCTTAAAATTAGAAAGACGCTTTTTTTGAGTCCTTTCAGATTGTTAGGAGAGATCTGAATAGATCTCAAACAGAAGTAGGAAAGGTGTAGAAATATATATGGTATTTGCATATGGCTGCTTATTTACATACACAACTTAGAAAAATCCTCCAAGGAGGGCAAAATGCTGCTCAACAATTATTCTTATCAAAACCTGTAAGGATTTCCCCTAAGTGACTTCACTAACATTTTCCACCCAAGGGTAAAATATTTTCTGGATCCTACCCCAGTTTTCCTTCTTCTTAAGGGTCATAAAGAATGTAGCATGGCCCTCTAAGTTATCCATCCAAAGATAATAAAAATGTAAAGATATTTTTAAGAAATCTTTGCTTATTTATTATCATATAACTCATTTCCTTCTTTAGCATGGTCCATTTGAACTCTTCAAACCTGACTATCTGAAAAATTTCTTAAGTGTCAAACACAGACATAATAAGCATATGTCAACCTTTGGTCCATCTCAAGTCACTTACCAGGCATGATGATATTAGAAAAACCCAACTTCCTCGTTATAGACACTCCGTGAGAAAATACTGATGAGTATTCTCTTCTGATTTGTTCAATGTCTCCATGTAATAGCTGTAGGGAAACTGCTAAACCTAAAATAAATGAGAGATACCAGAGTAAAAAATAGAAGGACAGAAATAGCATGAATGGAAATCTGAACTTGCTTCAACAAGCCCGCAACTATAATAGCATTGTTTTAAATGAAAGGTTACTATGCAGACAAAATTTTAAAAAATCTATAGGAATAATTTCTAGAAAATATTTTTCTAACTTGACTCTCTGAGTTTTCCTGTGTTTAAGGAGGTTCATAGCAACTGGAAAAAACTTGAGCAGAACACCAAGAAGAGGAAGTCTTGTTTCAGCCCCTACACCCTCTTCTCCAGCAACCCCCGCCAGAAGGAAATGTCCTTGCACGAACACTCGTGTCAGCAACTGTCATGGCTACCTGGCCCTTGAAGATACTGATCTCAAAAGTGGAGTTCTCATTTCCTTTAACTCTATAAAACCTATGAATACTTACTAAACACCATAAAGGTAGACACAACGATAAAGTCATGTAATAATTCAAGGATTTCAGGGATATTCATAGAGAATTTCTTAAAACATAAGTAACAGGGGTGTCTGGCTGGGGTAAGTGTCTATTCTTGGTTTTGGCTTAGGTTGTGATCTCAGGATCATGACACTGAGCCCTGCAAAGGGCTCCGCGCTCGGCAACGAGTCTGCGTGGGATTTTCTCGCTCTCTGTCTCTGCCCTTCCTCCTGCTCATGCACACATTCTCCGCCTCTCAAATAAATAAATAAATAAATAAATAAATAAATCTTAACAAACTTAGGTAACAAAGGTGGTTATAACAAAACCAAGATTATATTAATATTATGTGCATTAGAAATTCCTAATGGCATTATTTTCTGAGAAGAATTTAGCAGGATACAGGCCACTTTGACAAATAAAAGGGTATTTAGTTGGTAAAGTAGTAAAATTATCTTTTTTAAAACCCCAATTATAGTGACATCACTAGAGTGGGATATATAAAAGATGAAAGATAAATTATTCTTATCTATTTTCCCCAAATCTCAGGCAAAAGAAGTACAGAAAGGAAATTAATGTCATGTTTGTGAATATATTTGTATATTTCTGAGAGGCTACTTCTGTTTTTTAATTCCCTCTTGCTTTTCTTCTGTTATTTTAAACAAGAAAGAACAAAAAGAAAGTCCGTTACTTACATTAGTGATAGAAAATGAAGCCGATCAAAGCAGACTTATTTTTAAAACTTCCAGTCATCACTAAACTGAACTCAATTTTTTTCTTATTTATTTTATTATTTGTTTTTAATGAAAATTTTTAGGTAGTTACCATAGAGTGCAATGTTGGTTTCTGGAGTAGAATTCAGTGGTTCATCACTTACATACAACACCCAGTGCTCATCACAAGTGCCCTCCTTAATCCCCATCACCCATCTAGCCTACCCCCCCCATCAACCCTCAGTTTGTTCTCTATGCTTAAAAGTCTCTAATGGCTTGTTTCCCTCTCTCCTTTTTTTCTTTTCCCCCTTCCCATATGTTCATCTGTTTTCCTTCTTGAACGTCACACATGAATGAGATCATGGTATTTGTCTTTGACTGACGGACTTCACTTAGCGTAATAGATCTAGCTCCATCCATGTCTTTGCAAATGGCAAGATTTCATTCTCTTTGATGGCTGAGGAATATTCATTGTATATCAATATACTACACCTTCTTTATCCATTTATCAGTCAATGGACATTTGGGGTCTTTCCATAGTTCAGGTTTTACTGATGATATTGCTGTAAACATCAGGGTGCACGCATCCCTTCGAATCCATATTTCTGTATCCTTCGAGTAAACAGCTAGCATGAACTCAATTTTAAAATATATTTGGATGGTGGACTCAAGAGGATAATAAATCTGTGCTCCAAAGATTCTCTATCTATATCATTACTTACCACGTGCAAGCTATCATTCCCCATTCATAATTTATAGTACTTCAATATTATCTCAAACATGAACCATAAGAATGACAACAATCATGCTGGCATAAAAAAGAAATGCAAAGTGTATCCAGCACACATCTACATTAGGATCTTCCCTTCATTCTCCCTTAACAGAGTGAACAAATAACAACAAAAGCAGTGTCTTGTTAGTTAGTTCGCTTGGTTTTCAATAAAGTGGTTAAAACATCAGGAAAATTTGTTTAAAAAAAAAAAAAAAAAGCATTAGGTCAGAGAGAAGATGGAGCCTTTCCTGGGGTTCAAATCTGATCTAGATGGGGCATACCCAAGGGTCAGAGACTAAAGAAGTGAAGGACAGGGCAGGACTGCATCATTATGTCCTCATACTTTTCAGTGTGTGGGTCCAAGAGAATGTGTAAAAGAGTTATTATCAGAATTAGGTTAAATCTGGTGGGTACTCAGGAACGTTAATTAAATGTTCATTCCATTTTTGCCTTCCTTTCCTTTATCCCTCTCCCTACCCCCACTCCACTTGAGTTGGGTGACTGAAGGTAACACAACGGAGGAGCACCTGCCCACCAGTGCCCACAAGGAATGAAAGAGGGGAGTATAAGTGGTCTGGACGGTTTGACAGCGAAACAGTCGGTGCAGCTTCGGGATACTTTAATGTGGTGCTATTGGTTCCTTTTAAAACCCAGAGGCAGGAGGATGAAGACAAACTAACATGTGTTATAATCCATCTGTCCCAACAGCTATTTCTTCCTGACTCACGCTCTCCCACTACCCCCACCTCATTACTGGTGTTTCTGTTCTCTACCCACTTCTGTCCTTTTGCCTTCAAAACACTCACCCACACCATCACCATCACCATTAACATCATCAGGAGCTGATATTTGTAGACTAGCAGTGTGTGCCAGACATGGTACATAAGAACAGTCCCTCCTGCTGGGAAGAACACTGCTCAAATATGGAATACCAGAAACGATGCTTTCAAATACAGAATCAGATGGATTTAACAAAATTCTTGAGGTCCTGTAATTTTTTTGCAAGTGAAGATCAATTCACTAGGACTTCTCATCAAAGGATCTGATCTGAGACACCATCAACATTTTGTGGCATGTGTAAAGGAAGAAAAGAACTGACTAGTAATGAAAAGCAAAGACATCATGCTATTCAGGGTAGGGGCTGGAAGAAGGTAAAGTGACTAGAATTCTGGTTTTGCCCTATGGGAGCCAGAATTCATTTAACCATCAGTGACTTTTTTTTTTTTTTTAAATGTAAGCTGAAACCTAACAGAAGATAAAACAATGAAAAAAGAAAAGCATTCAGTCAAAGACAGTGCTTAAGAAAATTCAAGATAGGGGCACCTAGGTGGCTCAGTGGGTTAAGGCCTCTGCTTTTGGCTCAGGTCATGATCTCGGGGTCCTGGGATCGAGCCCCGCATCAGGCCCTCTGCTCAGTGGGGAGCCAGCTCCCCCCCCCCCCCGCCCTCTGCCTGCTGCTCTGCCTATTTGTGATCTCTCCCTCTCTCTGTCAAATAAATAAATAAAATCTTAAAAAAAAAAAAAAGAAAAAAGAAAATTCAAGATAGAAAAATATGTTAGGGAAGGATATATGTAAACATGAAAAGAGAACTACATCAATGTATTTTAAACAATAAGTGCCACAGAGATTAGAGAATGCAAAAGGATAAGAGAGGACCCAATTAGGGGAAAACAGGGAAGAGCCAGCTTGTAGATGAATGAAAGAAAGGAGGAAATGACAGGGGGATATGAGACAAAACACTATTGGGCTGGGGGACATTGTATTTTAAGAGTTAAACCTGTCCTAAAATTTGGTTAGAAGGTTTGGCAGTTTTCATTCTGGAGCTTTAGAAGATATAGATTAAAGCCCTAGGTGTAATGATTTCCTTTGTCTTGCTGAGTGACACCAATTTGGAGGAAAGGAGAAGGTTCTACCATTTTGAGGTGCTTCGATTTCTTCAAACCAAAGAGCTCACAGATTGTCAAGAATTGGAAAGGCCGACTGAACTGAGGGCTTCATCACAATTTACTTGGCTCTTCCTAAATCATCAATTTTTTTCCATTAAAAAAAAATAAATAAAGAGGAAAAAAAATCCCACAACACTCAACATGCAACGTTCAAGAGTGGGTATAGGTTCAATAAAACAAAAAACATGATTAAGGGTGAGTCCACAGGCACTAACTCACAAAAAGTCATAGCAATACCACTTATTTTTCCATCAAGGAAACTCCAGATTCTATTTTTATTGTGGCCCTTAATTACCATGACAAAAACCAACAGGTTGGATAAAAGAGCCAGCAGAACAATAAGAAATAATGCATTAAGATGAGGAAACTACTCATCACTACAAAGGAGAGACTCATCAAATACTCACCCTTTCCAATTATCTGAGGATTACCATATCCTTTCAGGAATGGTCATTCATGACACAGGGTGTGTTCACAGAGCAGTATTTTTGTTTCTATTCTTTTCTTTACAGCTGACTTCTCTGTTCTCACCTTATACCTGCTATCTCTGGGGCTAGGACTTCTAACTAAAATTTTATGTGTTGTACGCCTGAAACTAATATAACATGGTATCAACTATACTCAAATAACAAGTTTTTAATTAAATTTAAAAAATAAAATTTTATTTGTACACTGGCTTAGTACTGCTACAATTTAAACTGCCCATTTTGGGCATACCAGTAACTTTCAGCTTGAGAGGAGGGTGGAAGGTGGGATATAAGGATATATGTGGTAGGGTTCCTACTCAAAGGACATGATAATCTCATACGGAACATAAGGCACACACATATAAATAAAATGTAAAGCAGAATGGGTTACAAGTATGATATGACTATTAAAATAAGGAAACAAAAAAAATAAAATAAGGAAGCATTACTGACTGAGGGAATTTGAAAGTTCAGGGAAGATTTTTTGAAAAAAAAAAAAAAAAACAAAACCAGGAATATAAGCTGAAGAATCAGCTTATATTTCACAAAATATATCAATAATGTTTTACAGTTACTTTTTCCCAGTCCTTAATCTAAGTACCAAAATTGAAAATGCTAAGGGAGAACTGTTCCTCTTATTAAAAGAAGCAATCATTAAACTGAA